ATGAGCGCACATTCAACTACTTTTGTCAATGGAGCATGTCAAACAACCTCTAATTAGTCAACATAATCCAACTAAGCGGCAGCCGCACCCCCTTGTCGTCTGCAGCCGCCGCCTCTGGCTCGAAAACCAAACAAATGCCAACTTTGATCTATTTACAAGCAATTATTAACACAACAACAACAACAACAACAGCAACAGCAACAAAAACAACAAACAATTTTACATTTTTGCTTAATTACACACAAGTTGCAGCGCCGTCTATGCCCCAAGCCTCCGTCCACCTCCTGTCCCTTCTCTAAATCCTAGCCAAAAATTCCCGAATTCCCGTTTCACTGTCTCGCTTTGACTTTGCCAGCCAAAAAATGAGCTGCGCTGCTGCTGACTCTCGTTTTCCCCTTCCCCTCTGCCCCCTTCTCTCTTCGTTTCCCTTTGCCGGTCTCCATTTTGTGTCCATGTCAAATATTTGCACAAAGTCCAAGCAGCCCTCTTTGCTCTCTCTCTCTCGCTCGCACGCTCTCTTTTGCCGTTACCCTTTTGCAGCTCATCCGTTGGACGTAGCTTATCATTGACAAAAAGCGCAGCGCAGGCGGCGAAGCAGGAGGCGGCGAACTGGTTTCGGGGTTCACTGACTGTCAACATGGCTGGCGCCCTTTTTCGCCGTAGATCCGACTTCCCCACTCTCCCAGCCCTCAGCCGCGCCAACTTGCACTTTTTGCCCGAGCGTTGCCAGACAACGCACAGTCAGCGTAAATTTTCGATGCAGAAAGCAAAACAGGGAAAAAGTGGAAGGCAAAGAAATCATTTTAAATGCGGCTTAAAATTATCTTTGATAAGCGCGGCGCAATGCTGCTTACTGCTGAGTAATTTATAGGCAAACGCTTTTGCGCCTACTCAAGAGGTCCTTGAGATCAAAGTCCTTGTCATCGTCGCCGTCGCCGCAGTCGAACTTGGTTAGGGTCAAAGTTTAAGCGGCTTACCGAAAGCTTATTTAGCAAAGGCAGACAAAATAAATTGTCGCTGGGAAAGGCAAGGCAGGTCTCATTAGTGTTAAAGGTGAACTAATTGGACAAAAGTAAATACCCCTAGTCATACACTAGGGTAATAAAGAACTTATCGGGCGTTTGCTTAAATATGAGTGAAGAGTGCTTATTAATTATCATTTCTGCTGAAAAGCTCTTATATTTATAAGTTAATAAAAAAAATTAAAATACCAATCTTTCCACTACTCTTATATTGCTTGAAAGAGTGATGGGCAACTCTTATACCACCGCAAGCTCATCGCTGCCTCTCTTAAAGTGCACTAAATCTGCACTTAAAGCTTTTAAGCAAGTTGCTCCATTGATTTGCAATTTTTCTCTTCTCCGTCCGCCCTCTCTTCACTCATAGCTTTCAAGTTCACTTACAAATTGATATTATGAAGCATGCGTCCCAATAATAAAGATCAAAAAAGAAGAGAGGTAGAAACAGACACAAAACAAAATCAGAAGAATCAAGTTCTTTCAAGCAGCAGCAGCAGCAACAATGCAGCTGCTACTTGACTACATTTTTTTTTGTTCAGTTTTTCACTTGATTTGTGTAGCAGACGCTTCAAATTTACCTTTAGTTACCTCCTGGCTAAACAAAAAGTATGAAAGATGGAAAAGAAGAGAGCGACGGAGAAGGAGAGCAGAGACAGACAAAAAAGTTGTGCAACAAATTTTCTACTACTTTTACACACAAACAACCTACTCCACTTTTATTACTACCTTTTAGTGGTTGTCTCTTACTTTGACTTTTGTTCAGTTCTGTTTTGTCTGTCAGAAGGACAATGAAAGAGACAGAGTGTAGAAGAGGGCGAGGGCGAGGGCGAGCGACGAGTGACAAGTGATTTCTCTGCCCGATAGCGCAATTCGTATTTCCCATACAACTTGAAACTTTTTTAATAGATTTCAAATTTTTGCCCGCATCCCACTCTTATAATCTCTAGAGTAATCAAGCAAATTAGTGCTCAATAGCAAAGGAGCCAAAGGGAAACAGAAAGAGAGTGGGAGGGAAAGATGAAGGGAGAGCGCGCGAGACCCAAATCCGAATTGGATGCCAACTTTTGACTTGGCCTTTGGGCTGACTCCCAGGATAATTTGAGCTGTAAATTGTTGACAGCTTTGGGTTACAGTTATATATTTTTTCCTCCTCTGTCCTCTTTTTTTGTTTTTTTGGCCATTTTGCTGCGTAGACAAATGAAGATAAATGTGCACTGAGCAACGGGCAAAAAGTTTTTTAAAAATTTCCTATGCACAAGTTATCGAAATTTAAAGGCGAAAAGTTTCAGCTGGGGTAGTTGAGACTTTGCAATAAATTTGTATTATTTACTATAAAGTAAATAAATACATTTAATTTTGTAGTTTCAATAAAATACATATATATTTGTTAAAATTTAAATTAAAAAATATTATCTATGTAATTTTGTTTAAAATTTTAAACTGAACCAAAAATTTTGATTTTTCATTTTACTTTCGTTCTCTTATACAAATCATTCCCATGTTTGCTGAAAGCGATCTACCTTTTGAATGAAATTTGTTTACAGGGTATTAAACTTGTAAACTGTAACTCGTATCGAAATAAATGCGATAGTCTTGTTATAAAACGATAGTCGAACTAAAAACTTTCTGTATGTGCACACACACAGTTTTAGCTGTTGTTGATCTCAATTTTGTTGCTTGTTGCTCTTGTTCTTCATTTTCTACTTCTTGATGATGATGAAGATGAATTGCAGTTTGAACTTTGATAGAAATGCACAACAAGCTTTGTGTAGTTTATTTTTTGCTTCTCTCTCAAGTTGGTTGTTTTTGTTGTTTTCGCTGCAGTTGAAGCAAAAGTTGCTGCAAAGTTTTTAATAAAATTGTTGCAATTTAATGTTTTATTGGGGCGAAACATGTCAAAGGAAATGCAATAATTGTGTCAAATGGGCGTACGCTCTTAATGTTGCTACCATTCCCTCTACGGCACATTTAAATAGAGAGAGAACAATACCAAACCGTAACTAAATACAGCACAAAGGAAAGTGCAAAAGCTAAGAGCGGGTTAAATGAGACAGTTTGAGCTTGAGAGAGGGAGAGAGAGAGGAAGTTTCGCCAAGTTTGTCTCATTGTGCATAAAATGCGAAAGCAAAAACAACAAAAAAGTTCAAATTACGAAATGCAACAAAGAAATCCAGCACAAGTCGAGGGGTGCAGGAGCAACAACAATAAAGACAAAGAATTTGCTACACAAAAGTGAAACTTGTAAGGAAGTTAGAAGTCAAAATGAAATGAGCAGAAAATTGCACTTGCAATGCGAGAGTGTGTGTGAGAGAGAGAGAGAGAGAGAGAGAGAGAGAGAGAGAGTGAGCAAACAACAGTTGGAGTAATTATAGCGTTAGATGAATATGGATATCAAAATATGTGTGTATATGGGGTTCGCCTTTTGTTTTGTTTAATTACAAGTATAACATGATATTTTATGATAGTTATGGTTTATTTAACTTTGATTATGGCCATTCCGGTTCAGGTGTCATCTCTTAAGCTGCTAATGCGCTTAAGCAGAGACCTTTGTGGAAATTTAAAAACAGTTGGAGTTGAGTGAACTTTCAGCTCGAGCAAACCACAAACGGCATTTGCTCAACGGCCATTCGTAAATAGACAGCGACAAATGGGTCAATTAAGGCAAAGCAGCTAGATTAAAGGCTGGTGGGCACCTGCGCAGTTAAATTGATAACTGGGCGTGTGCAAGGCTGTTTATTTTTGCAACGTAGTTAGGAAAGCTTTGAAGTTATTTGCGTGCTTGAATTGAAAGTTGAACATTGAACGTAAAATTAAGAATACACTTAATTTCACTTAAATTCTACGGCGAATAGCAGCCAAAATATAAGCAACTACAGTTATGTATATGTAGGGCTTCGTCTCGTTTTTGTTTCTGTTGCCTCTCATCAGGCGCACCAGTCATGAGAGATAGAGAGGAAGCGCGCAGCAACAGGCGATGTTAAATATAGCCCAACTCCTCCCACACGCTAAGATCGCTATACCTGCTGCTCTGCTCACGGTGGGCGCTCTGTGTTGATGTAGACAATTAGAGCTTAAAAGCTCTGCTCGCAGTCTATGCCAAAGCTAGGCTCGCGCTCTCTTCTTTTTTTGTGTCTTCTTTACTCTTTGACCTGCATACATATATACATACATATGTTTAAGCTCGGCTGGCTCTCTCTCCTGCCAGTACCCCAATACATTATATCCGAGCACCGCATGAATGTCTTGCTCGCGCTCTCTTCGTGCATTGCATATTGGCCTCAGATCTGCTCTCGCTCTCTCCTTCTAGTTCTTCTTTCGACTACTCACGCTATGTTGCGATTCCTTTTCTATTACACTCTTACTCCATTAGTCCTTTATGGCCTGTTTCACCGCTTTACACTGTGGTTCCTCGCAGTTCACAAAAATTTGGATCGTTCATTTGCTCTTCGACGATTGTCAATAAAGGAAGTGGGAAGACGCTGTGCGTGATAAATTTTGTGCCCAAATTTTAATTAGTGCATTTTGTAGTCGCAGTGTTTGCAGTGTTTACATGGAAATATTTTAATAACCAATTTGATTTTCCAAATATTACAATTACCAAGTTTATTTTTTACAATTGACAATTGTCCGTGTGCGTTTGTTTGCCTCTAGTGCACGATTCTCTTTGTTGTAAATCGATTCGAAAGTGTTGGATAAAAAAAGTTACAAAAAAAAAAGGAAAAACAATGTTTAGCAATCGCACTTCGTTTTTGGGCAATCGTTGCATGATTTTTGATTTCTCTGAGAAAAACAACGAGCTGTATTTGGAGTGAGTATGAAGATAAAAATATAATTAAAATGAACTTTCTTAAAATATCTAATGAACTGTAAAATAATTCCTTCTTATGCGCTGCGCATATACAGAAAACTGTTATAACTGTAATTTTACTCATTTTCAACATATTCTCATTCTCTCTCTCTCCCTCTCTTTGTCTTTTACAGTGCATTTGGTATGAGCGATAAGAGTAGCAGCGCCACCAATAGTCTACCGAATAGTCCTATACATAGCAACAATAACAATTCGTCGCTGCTCAATAACAACAACAACAGCAGCAACAGCAATAACAACGCCAACTTGGTGGCCAGCAATAACTCGCTAGCAGGCACCCCCTTTGGTAACGGCAATAACACCAACAATACCAACAACAACAACAGCAGCAGCAACAACAACAACATCATGTCAAGCAGCTTGATGAACAACAACAACAATTCGTGCAGCGCTAATCGCAATGTTGTTGTTAGCATGGATGACGATTCATGCTATCGCCTGGATCCAGACACAGCCGTTGTCACCTACGGCGAAAAGGAGCCCGACCCGGATAACATTAAGATGTTTGTGGGCCAGGTGCCCAAATCGATGGACGAGGCGCAGTTACGCGAAATGTTTGAGGAATATGGCCCAGTGCACTCGATAAATGTGCTGCGTGACAAGGCCACAGGCATAAGCAAAGGTAAGTGCGAAAGAGAAAAAAAATATTATATTATTTAATTCCTTACAATATCAAAAATTATTCGTACCATCTATTTAATATGTTACAAAATGCATGACAATTGCATAATGTCCTTTCAAATACTAAATACCCTACACTCAACGGTAAATGCTGAAGCTAGCTCACACTCCCACACACGCTCTCTCTCGCTCTTTCTCTGCACGAATAACTGCTTAAAGTAAATAAGATAAAATTAGCCATTCAATGCACATAAACACACACAGAAATATCAGATATTCTCTCAATCTACATTGCTTTTGCATATTGTGTGCTTTGAGTGTGTGTGTGTGTGTGTGCGTGTATTTTAATTGCATGTCAAGCGCTTGCCATTTCATTTCATCAGCAAATTGCTTTTTGTTCGCCATTTGCCTGGGAGCTGCCATTTGAGACGGAAACTTTGAATAGTCAACGAAGGAAGATATGAAGAAAAAAAAAAGAGAACTCAGTATGTGATCTCGAGTTTCTTTTTGTATTAAAGCAGCTCTTAAATTGAAGAGGTTGATTTCGACTCTCTTGATGATTGGCCGATTGCTCACTTTGCTCTCTATTGTTGCTTTTGTCATTTGCAGGCAATTTAAAAGCCTCTCAACGGCAGCCAAACACATTTCTATTGATGCACCACAGTGCGGCTTCTTCTCATTCACAGCGGCACTTTCAATTGTGATGGCCTTTTGTCAAGTCATATTTTTATGTTCATTTCTTTTTCTATTTATATATAAATATATATTTATACATTTGTTTATTTAGGCACCGCCTATTGTACTTTTTGTTTGCTTTTGTATCATATCTTATTCTGCCTTCTCTCTCTTGCTCCCTCTTTCTCTTACATGCCAGCTCTCTATATCATTTTGTTAGGGCTGCATTTGACAGGCGTCCGCTGCTTGGAAATGTGGGCGTGTGCATGGTCAGCTTGTCATCGATGGGCGTGGCTGTTATGTTTGTCGTGCTTGTCTGTATATGTGTATGGAGCTGTGGGTGTGTGTGTATGTGTGACAAAGTAAAAGCGCAAACAGTTTTAGGACGCACTTAAGTGGCGCGTTGTGTTGATGATTTATGACAATGAGACAGCGCGAGAGCGACTGGAATTGAGAGTGTGAATGGAAGTAGAAGCTTTCGGCTAAGTGCCTGCCTACATATGTGTGTATATCTGTGTGTGAGTGTGTGTGTCCTGCTGTTTATCACTTGAGCTTAAAAGCAGCGCGCCATGCCACAAACACAAATCGACACAAATTGCATTTGAAAGTTATTATTTATGCCAGGCAACTGTCAAATGCTAGCAAACAAAAATAGAGAGAGGGGCATACGATGACCCAAAAGAAAAGAGCAAGAGAAACGATATAACGGCGAGGAAATACTCTGTAGATTCGAATTGAAATTGGTATATTCTCACGTAAAAAGTTTTTTAAAAAATAAAATTTTAAATTAATATTTATTTATTTATTTAAAAAAAAAAAAAATATGTATATATATATATTGATATTTAAAATTCAAAATATTTAAAACGGAGAAGTATATAGAATTCAGGTTTAAGTGCTAAAAAACTTCCCATCAAATATGCTCAAAAGAAGAATAAGTAAAAGTGAAATAAAATTATTAGATTTGAAGGTTTTATGTTAAAAAAAAAACGTTTCAAGCAATCATATCATGACTGATAGACCTTCTACCAATTTAATATGATGACCTTCATAACTCAAGTCAGATCATAATATATGTACCTTCTACTCGTTTATAGTAGGGTATATTTGTAAGCCAAGGGGACAAAGTTTTTTGTACTTTCTTTGCCACTTGCAGAATGTTTCGTTGTTTAGTCGTTTCCTTTTTTTTTTCATGTGCAGTTTTATTTTGGCTTCAACTTCCTGCTACAACATTTCCATTTAGCCTGACTTGTAACCTAGTTTTGGCCAGTTTTAGTTTCGTACCTTGGTCCTTTGTGCTGCGACAAAAAGTTGGCAGTGGAGTTCCCCTATCCCATCCGCCGACCCCCGCCCCCTCCATCCATTCTCAGTCCTGCACTGCTGCCAATGGCTTCAAATTTGGATTTTGCTGTTGCATTTTGATGGCGAAGCGCTTGGCCAAAAAGCCAGAGCGCAGAGGACTTGGCCATGCTGCAGCTACCAAAAATGGGAAATGACACTTTTAAGCGCGACGATGACCTCTGAACCAGAAAGTCGTAAATAACCTCACCCGCTAAAGAAGAAAAAAAGCAACAACAAACTGGGGAAAAAAAAAAGGAAATTTCCTTTTCGTTTGGGCAAAAGTTTGGACTCGGCTTTTATTATTTCTGGGCTAATGCCTTTTGGCTAAAAACTTGTTTTTCTTTCACACTAAATTTCGTTAGCGGCCAGTTACTTTTTCGAGTGGATTTTCTATGTTGTTTGCGGGTGTTGTTATTGCGGTTATGCTGTGGTTCCTCTCCACTCGCTGTGCGTTAGAGAGACAGAGAGAGAGCTAACGCGAGCGCGAAGGGTGGGTTTGTGCAAAGGTTTAAGCTCTCCACTCATAATTTATTAGCGCTTGCGGTAAACGCAGCTATTGGAAGAGTGTGAGAGCAAGAGAGAGAGAGAGGGAGTGAGGGATAGACTAACTGCTATGTGCTCGCTCCTCTCTGTTTGTTCAGGTGTAAAGCGCTTTTACAGCTTTGTTTGGCCAAAGCGTTTAATTTGATGGGCCTTTTCTCTCTCTCTCTCTCTTTCTACTTTGGGCCTACCTTCACAAGTTGTTTAAAATTTGTGGGTTTTTAGGTGAAGTTTCTCGAGTGGGTCGAGAGGCATTCTGAAAAAGGGTCAGCCATAAATTAGTCAATGAATGACAAACTATGCACATTGGAAATAAATTAAACTTTAATTTTTTGGGGAATATAACTCAATTAGAAAGCCCAAAGGAAATTACTGTAATTAATTGATGTAATTTAATTGATAGATATATATTTAATATGATTATAAATAATTTAAATATAATTTTATGTAACACCAACTATTCTACAATTTTTTTTAAGACTACTTCGCATTCACTTTAAAGTGATTTTATTATCTCTCTCTACATTCAGTCCTTGAATATCTTTTTCTATAAGTTTGATTTATGACCATAACGCTGACCAAATCACACAAAAAAGCAGGAAATAATATAATTCAGCCGCAGTGAGAAAATATGCTCTTCTTGGCCATTTGATATTTTTTTTTTTCTTTTTTGATTCCGCCTACTGCGCTTGAGAACTTCATTTTGTAAAGCTCGCCTTCTCACTCACACTCACGGGGCTGCCAGTGTAAAGCTTTGCGTCTAACTGTGCTTGGCCAGCTGTCCGCTGTCACCTAAAATAGAAAAAGAAACGCACTTATCTGCCGACTTCATCCGACTTGCTGTGTCTGTCTTCCTCTCAATTCTCTCTCTTTCTCTCTCTCTCTCCCCTAATGCTCGCCTACTTTGTGTGCTTGACATTTTTATTTAGCGGCTTGCGGAGCGTGAAAAATGCATAAAATTTCACTTAATTTTCAAAGAGCATTTCAATTTCAA